GCGAGGTGTATCTGTGATCTCCAAGAGTTGTGCACTATGCATCTATTAAAGAAACTGGATGGAAGCTTGTAACGAATCCACCTATAGCAGGAACCACCACACCAGTACAAGACAAATTACACACACCGGTGGAGCTGGATAAAGCCCAAGGTCATTCTCCAAAGACAGATGCCTCTCTACTCAAGGACATCTCCCCTTGCTAGCTGTCCCTTGTCCTCCCTGTGGGCCAGCCATTAGTGGGTGACATAACACTCATGTGCTTTACACGCACAAAAGGCTTGATTCCCCCCCCACACAGTGCAGGTGCAGAATGTTGCACAAGGTAAAAAAGGAGGAGCAGGATAGGAGCACAGGGAAACACGGTCCTATATCATTGTGTTGCTGCTGAGGTCCCCAAGCTACTCCTGCCTCCCAGAGTTGCAAAGTGAAAACCAGGACATCTGCCATGGGGCATGAATGAGGGGGTGGTTTTGGTCAGTCTCAAGGAGGTGTGCATCAGAGGGTGAAAAGCGGGAGCCCACTCCTCCTTCACAGCCAGGCAGCCCCCACCCTTTGCTAGTGTCCTATGGGACTAGCTATGTGTGTGGGATAGGGATGGTTCAAGCAGTTGATTGCAGAGCATTGGGGGCTTGGAAGTGGAGCTGGTAGGATATCCACACATGAGAAGCCTAGTGGAAGGGCTCTTTGGAGGGAGGGATAGCTCGGTGGTTTGAGCATTAGCCTGCTAAACCCAGGGTTGGTCCTGCTTTGAGCAGGGGGTTGGACTAGATGACCTCTTGAGGTCCCTTCCAACCCTGATATTCTATGATTCTATGATTGTGAGTTCAATCCTTGAAGGGGCCATTTAGGGATCTGGGGCAAAAATCTGTCTGGGGATTAGTCCTGCTTTGAGCAGGGGGTTGGACTAGATGACCTCCTGAGGTCCCTTCCAACCCTGACATTCTATGATTATGCAACTCTCGCTAGCCCAGGTGCTAACTGGCTCCTTCAGTTCACCAGGGGGTGATTACAAAAATCAGGACAAAACAACCAACAGGGCCTGGGGCGGAAAAAAGGGACGTTTGCAGTATTGTCAACATCAAGGGATCAAAAATCATGATCTGTCCAGGACTCAGCAGCACTTCCACAGCCCCCCTCTCACTGTCCTGAGACTTCTCTGCCCCCTTCTTTCCTTCTGCTGCCCTGGGACTTGGCAATACTTCCCTGACTCTCCCCTGCCTCCTGCTGCTCCAGGACTTCTCTGTTATCGGACCCCCAGCAGTGCTGTCCTGGGAAGTGTGACCAAAGTGGGTCCTGGGCAGAGGACAATCCCCAGGCAGCAGGGGGGAGGAGTCAGAGAAAAGCCGCTGTTGCTGCTGTGTGGGGGCAGCCCTGATCATTGCGGGATCGGAGGAGCTTCTTGCATTATTGCGACAGTGGGGTCCCAAGATTTGCGAGCCAGTCCTGAGAGTTGGCAATGCTGCCTTTGTGATTTCCTGGAACTCAGGGTTATGGTGGCAAGGCCTGTATGGCAGCGCTGGGTGATGTGATCCCTGTGTTTAGTATAGGTAAGGTTTGGGAAGCCTGTTCCCCTTCGCTCTCACATGGGCTTCTGTTGCAGGGACATTAGAGAGACAAGGTGGGTGAGGTAATATCTTTCATTGCAGGGGTTCTCAACTTTTTTTTTTCTGAGCCCCCTTCTCCCCCATGCTATAAAAACCCCCTAGGGAGGAATAGCTCAGTGGTTTGAGCATTGGCCTGCTAAACCCAGGGTTGTGAGTTCTATCCTTGAGGGGGCCACTTAGGGATCTGGGGCAAAATCAGTACTTGGTTCTGCTAGTGAAGGCAGGGGGCTGGACTCGATGACCTTCAAGGTCCCTTCCAGTTCTAGGAGATATGATATCTCCATTATATATATATATTTTACCACAAAAGTCAGGGCCGGCGTTAAGGGGTAGCAACCAGGGCAATTGCCCGGCGCCCCACGTTACAAGGGGCACCGTGAAGCTGAGTTGCTCAGGCTTCAGCTCCAGCTCCAGGTGGTGGGGCTCAGGGCCCAGGCTGCAGTCCTGCGCAGCTGGGCTTCAGCTTTCTGCCCTGGGTCCTAGCGAGTCTAATGCCGGCTATGCTTGGCGGTCCCCCTAAAACCTGCTCGCGGCCCTCCAGGGGACCCGAGACCCCTGGTTGAGAACCACTGTTTCATTGGATCAACTTCTTGCTGCAAAAAGAACAGGAGTACTTGTGGCACCTTAGAGACTAACAAACTTCTTGCTGCAGTTGTGGGTTTCCCCTCTGCATGCAATATCAGGTTGCTGACGCTAGGGGTCAGCAGTGGGCCGGTGCCCGAGGCTGCGCTCTCTATGGCCATGC